CAATGTTGAGTAGTTTCCTATGGGGCACAAATACCGCTCTCATGTTTGACTCCACCACCGATCCTACCCGCCCTAAGCAGACGCTCACAGACCTTTATACTACGTCATGTGATCGTACCGTCCACTGATGCCATGGAAGGTACAGTAGAGTTAGTTAAAAGCCGTGTGCGTCGCATACGGTGGCATCCATCTGTCGATTTCCCATCCCACTGACCAAACGTTGGTATTTGACTAATTGGGAATGACAACAAGTTTAGATTTAACCAAAGTCCTGATTTTCCCCCTCGCCTTCACCAAAGTGTTTCTGTTGCCTAAAGCTAAACACACACTGGACTCAAAAAGACGCCGATACGCCGGACCTCGGTGTAAACATGCTGCACTTTGTACTCCCACAATCCACCACCGACCACCTCCCGACGCATTGCATGTAGTTAAAAAAAGTTGCACTTTCTTCACACAGAAAAACTTTGTCACTAAACAAAATGTAGCATTTCCGTTTGCCTCAAAACATATTTGGCAAATCAAATTAATTATAAATAAATGTCATTTCCAGAAGACACAGGAGTCCTCTTAAGAAGAACAACAAAGGATTATTAAACTGTGTTTTCAGATTTTTCTTTGTTGTTTTTTGTTGAAGGGAAAACAAGTGTGATGTTGATTTCAGATAAACCAAAGGTGCAGACTATGGTTTTGGGACGACGGCTTTGCAGATCTGACAGCAACGATTTGAGGATTAGCAACAAAACGTGACAACTTCTGCACTTCAGTTAGGGGACGAGGATAAATTTAAAAAAAGATATGAGAAAAAATTAAAACTTGCTTTGAAGAGACCAATTACTCTCGAGCCCAACGGCTGAGAATAAATGTTGTGTGGAACATGTGCCCGGGGCGCCATTCAGTGTGTGAAATAAGGTTTAAAACCAATTGTGTTTTTAGCTTTTTATACAGAATATTTTCTGCTTTGAGGTTTCTCATAACGGTGACGAGACTTGACATTTTTGAAATAGTTTTGAGGTGTAAATCATTCACACGTCTGCTTGTTGTTTTTGACGCACGCTGCTGCTGCGTCGGCTGGTTGGGATAATTCGCCGGTCAAAGTGAAATGTTTTCCCTCCATGTCGTCAACATATTTAGATTACTGCGTTTAAAATGCTTCCACAGGAAATCATCCGTATGTAGATGATGTCTGGAGGAGCGATGAATGAAAGAAGAGGAAGAGGAAGCGATTACACAACCTTCCATGTGGCCGGAAGGAAGTTGAAGTCACATACAGTCACATACGCTGTCGTGCACGACTGATGTTCCTCTGGTGGTATACAATGCACACAATGCACCTTTGGGCGTGACACCCTGCTCTCCAATGATTTAAAGGCTGATTTTGTCCTGTCGACAGGCGAGTATCGACTTATCTTGAGGTGAATTATAGATGGCCTGTCAGCCCGTTGAGTGGGAAGAGGTGATTGTTACCTTCCGGGATTCATCTGAGCTTTTAAATGATTCCAGAGAGGAGTTGACAGTTGACTCCGCTGGAGTTGACAGCAGCGGAGAAGGTCGCTAATGGACCTTTAGACCTTTTTAGTGGAGGTGCTCCCCTGACAAATGGTCTTTTTTGCGGAGCACAGACGCCGGCTTGCCGGAGAGCCCAACACACAACATACAAGTTTAATTTTGACACATCATCAAGTTGCCAAAAGACAGGCCAAAATGGCAAAATAATTCATGCAGCTACCTGAATATTTTGTGCCAAATTCTTTTGAGAAAGAGTTTTTAGATTGGCACAAGGAGTGCAGCGTAGCAACACGAGCAGGCTGAGGTGGACAAGATACAGCAGATTTTAATAACGAAAGCATTTCGATAGGCCGATACCGCTCCTTGAAGATAAGCCCGGCTCAGACCCGATGCGGCTTAGAATACGTCTATTATATATGAATCCAAATGCTCATGCAGCCAAAGGTTGTACATGAAGGTGGAAGTGTTATCAAAACATGGATCCAAACGGTAGATGATTGTGAGCGGCCTTTAAACAGACTCTCAGTCCCTAAAGATACTTACTGAAACACACACAGATGCTCAGCTACCGAACCACAAACGGCTGTCTTGGTTTGGTTTTTCACCATCTGTGTGTGAACGTTAACAGTCTGCCTCCTCCACGAGACGGCAGATAGAATGAGATGAACGTAACTCTCTGCCAGCAGGCAAAACTGTGTTTTCTGCTTTCTCTGCAAAAGAAATGAGTCTGGGGAGATGAAAACAGAGAAAAGACTTTCCAGGAGAAACAAGATTAAAATGGGGCGGGGCTGGATGAAGGAATACCCTGAGGGAGATCATGAGGTCGTGAGACGGTGGAAGCTAAGAGGAGAGATGGGGTGGACCTAAAAGCATTTTCACTACCGCTGCTTTCCTTCCCTCGGTCACCGAGCCGCAACTCGTAGGAAGTGACAGGAGGGTCGCCGTTGAGGAATGAAGGGAGCGAGTCGTAATGGAGGTTCATGTTCCACTCCATCATCTAAAACGGACATGTGTTATTGCTGACGTAGACCATGCCTAAAATTCAGCAAATATAACTGCTGAAGAAACTAGCTGTGCTTTTGTTTTGATTTGTAGGTGAGTGAGAGAGAGTGAGTGAGAGAGAGTGAGTGAGTGAGAGTGAGTGAGAGTGAGAGAGAGAGAGATTCCTGTCAGTCTCTCATCAGTAATATTTGGGGGAAACAACACAATCACTCACGTCCTGTTTATTATTCTTTATTTATCATGATTGGCTCAAACTGCATCATCTCGGCTCTTGAAGATTAATCCCTTCTTTTTTTTTTTTTTGCTCATTTGTCTTTCTAGCACTGTGGGAAAAATAATAATTGTGGTCTTCACCGTCAGTGTGCAGCCTGCTTATTAAACAGCAAAGGATAACCGGCTCAGTCACACCTGTGGGTCGGGTGGATAACGTGGTAACGTGTGCATCCAGAGGGCTGGATTACTTTAGTTCTTGCACAGTTTCGGTCACCGATGCTTTGACTCATTATTCACGAGTCTAACCCGACTCCTAATGGCTCACTAAGCGCCCGGCTCACAGTAAATACTGGAAGTTCTTCTACATTGAAGTGTCTGAGTTTTGCAGCCATGTTTTGTCCAGTTGAGGATCGTGAGCTTGAATTTCTTTTCTATTTTTCTTTTTGTTGATTTGATCTTGAGAAATGAATCCACGTCTATATTTCAACACAGCTGCACTCGTTCTTTTCAATATGCAGCTGCTCTGCTGGATCTAAATCCCACAGCCGTGATTGTATTACACCAATCCTTTCCTGTCGCACGTAGATTTGATTTTAAGATTTCAAAATGTCTTTGCTGTCTGGGTTTTGTTCTCTGCCATGTTCCGCCGAAAACATTTTTCTTTATTTCTTAAGCAACCTGAACATCTTCACACTGGTTTGAAAAGCATGTTTTCTTTAAACAATTGCCAAAACTACACCGTTTATCCCCCCTGAACATCTGTGGGAACATTTGAAAAAGGGGAAAAGGCTAAAAATATTGAAACTTCACATGACAAAACACTCTCTGGGACACTTTTACACCCAACCTGTAAACACACACGTACACGAGTACTTGTACTCACAAATAAAAGTACTTTTGCACACCAACCTGTGCAGGGTTGTATCTACATGCACAGCCCCCGCATTCAATTCTAATAGAATGTCCATGTGGAGAAGCATTACAATAATAATTCCCTCACCTCTGTTTCTCTTTGAAGATAATCTGCTGCATTTATGGTAATACGGATTTAACCACAAGCAGCTCCACTCTTAACCCCGGGTGATCCAGCGTCTCTTCTCGTTGGTTAAGCCACTGAGCAAACAGAAAGGCTACGAATACATTTTCACGTTATCTCCACCCATACTAAAGTTCCCTTTAGAGAAGAATACCTCAGCGACTTGCCTCATTCACAATGACTGCAGCAGGACATGCTGTGATAAGACTGTGCAGCTTCCAAATTATAAAAAGAGAAGGCGGTGGAGACATTGTAAACATCCATCATGTTCATGTTGTCTGCAACAGTCGCTTCTTTTAAGTTTAGATTTAGACGTTTTTCAGAACGCTCTCATTTTCATCCACGCAACCTGTGCAGCTGCGGCTCATCGGCATAAACCACCACCAGAAGCGTTTATTTACGCTGCAGGTCTATTTTTATTTTCTTATCCAAGTTTTGCCACCGAGGCAGAGCCGAGCGCGCGGCCTCTGGACTCTGCTCTGGTTTGTAATCCGACAGACTCTCCCTCCATTGCCCAGCAGCTGGGAAGCAAGAAGCGGAAACGTCTTGGGTATTGAGGAGCTGTAGTGTTTTTCACATGCAAACTGTCACCTAAACTGTACATTTACTGCCACTAGACAACTTAAATTTTCTCTTTGCTGCCGATCACCAACGCCAACACACACACACACACACACACACACTACGCACTGAGCTACTGAGCACAAAGCAGTCAATAAAACATGTTTGTTTCAATAAACAACGAGCAGGAGAGGCCGTTTAGCAGACAGTCATAGAAGATATCCAGCTGATGGGTCCAGCAGTATGCGGGATTAGCTGTGGACAGACGGACACACATCCGTCTGCACGCACACAACCAAACACATGATCCCCGCCGCGCTGACGCCTGGCAGAGCTAATGAAGCGAAGCCGTGTTTATTATTGCATCGTAACAGTAGCTGTGGTCTGACGTCTGAGGAATCGCTTCGAATAGAGAACAATGTTTTGCTTGATTTATTGTTTTTTCAAAATTGCCTGAATTAAAAAAAAACAAGTTTTAGTGATTTCCCTCTCCCGCTCTTTCTCCCGTTGTCTGTTTGTTGATGTTCGGTCAAGATGGGAAATGCCTCTGAAACATTTCTGCTCGAGTCCAGAATATCGAAAGAGAATGACTTCCTCATGGGAGCTATCTACACCATCTTTGGTAAGTGATTTGCATTTGCGTTGAGTTTACGGCCATTCTCTGTTTGAATGTGTGTTGACAATCCAACGGCCCCACGACATCCTGCCACTCTGTCTCCTAGGTGTGCTGTCGGTTGTGGGAAACGGGATCCTGCTGTTCGTGGCCTATAGAAAGAAGTCCTCCCTGAAGCCGGCAGAGTTCTTCGTGGTCAACCTGGCCATCAGCGATCTGGGCATGACCCTCAGCCTGTTCCCACTGGCCATCCCCTCGGCCTTCACTCACATGTGAGTGGCTGTTCAAAATGTCCATTACTCTTTCTCCTTTGAGCCGTCATGTCACGATGTCATCTCCACAGTCCAGAGTATCCCGAGGGACGAGGAAGAAGGCAGAGAGACTCGCAGACAGGGAACGGTTAAAGAACCAGGGTTGTGAAGACCGTCGAGGTCTACGACGACATGTCAACATTGTTTCTGGAGAATTCAACAACCTGAGCGTTAGTTTACATCATCGTATACATTAGACATGCAAATGGAAGGTTCCTCTCAGGCTGGTAACTTTAAGACTCAATGTTAGTCAATTTAAAGTTGACTGTTTTTGATCAAAGCAAATGATAAAGTTAATTTATAAAGGATTTTGTTTTTCTCCACCAGAATTAAAACAGAAACGTCGAAAGCAGGAGGAAGATATGGAACTGGTCTTTACACTAAAATACATAATTACACACAAGGGTGTAATTTACACACGGCAGGATGAGAAGTCCGCCTCATTTGTCAAAATCCTATTTACAAAGCCCAATCCTATGGTAGGGCGTATAAATAGTCATTATGCTTTTTGGGGCATTTTTGGTCATTGAGCGCCACGCGGTCACAGCGAGAAGGTCAGTGTCAGGTTTAGGCAACAAAACAACTTAGCTAGGTTTAAGAAAAGCATCATTGTCAGGCTTAAAATAAGAACGTTAACTGAGTAAAGTCCAGACGGAAACAACGTAACAGGTTAACGCCTCACACCGGTCTAAAAGTCCGGTGTTTGTTTGACCCGTCTACTTCCTCTTCCACCCACCATAAGCTTTCTCTCTCACATTTTATATTACCTCACTTGTTTAGAGCACGACATTTTCACAAGTTGACGATGCAGTCAGCACAGACTACATGGCGTACAAGTGACAAGCAAAAAGCAATAAAGTCGTTTACTTTGCACACAAAATAACTTACAAATTGTGGTGTCATTCTTACACCATTTGGTGAGAGTGGGCTGATGTACCAGCTAGCTGCTAAATGTGCCGGCCTGGTGCGTAAAGCTTCAGAGCGATCTCACTGAAAACAGCTGAGAGCTGTGAGAGTCAACCAAAACAGTAACGTTGCAGAATGTACAGTGAGCTGAAACCCGCTATGAAGCTCCGAAAAGCCGAGGAGAGCAGCAGATTCACGTAATGTCTTCAGGGTCATCACTGTGAGCAGCCACTTTATATGTCATTTAATACATCGTTATTATATAAATATGGATTATAGCTGCTTCGAGCTTTACAAGCATCGATCTGTGGACTTTGTTTCCCTGCTTCTCTCCTCTCAGGCTTCATAAAGTGCACCCACCTTGTCGTCCTCAAAAGGAAAGGGCTTTTACAGTAATGTTACATTCCATATTCTCCTAACAAGACAGTTTTGACTGACCATCAATCAAAGCAGACAGAAAAGGGCGGTGCTCTTTGTAGTAAAGATGCAAATACAACATTCTTTATTCGGCTCTCTGTCGAGGGAACCGAATATGATTTTAAGTAGTGATGGTGCAATAACAAGAAAGGTCGAACTTTCTGTTTTGATGCCGTGGCCACAGAGGCATTATGTTTTCCGGTTTTCCGTCCTTGAACACGTTAAGATAATTACTTCAATTTTGGCACAAACGTCCATCTGGACTTAAATATGCACTTGCCAATCATGACTGATATGCTAATTCTTGATTGATGACAATTATGATGATTTCACGCAGATGTTTAATCAGATAAAATGAAGTGACGACAGATATCTACTTGAGTGGTTGGCAAACAACCGCAAAGTGGTAATTCTAGTTTCATAATACTACTACTATTATTGAAAAAACAACATTTTTCACCATAATTAGCTATTTTCTAGAATGATATAAAAGATTATAAAAGGAGAAGAAAGGCCATCACTTCTTTACCTCTAATCTAATTGTGTTCCCTTCCCTTTTAATACCAACTTACATCTTTGATTACACAGTTGAAAGAAAAAGACATGCTGGTGGAGTTCAAACATTCCTTTGAAGAGTCCTTCACTTACTCGGATCCCCTGAGCATGTGCGGCTGATAGCGGTCACATCTGCCATGATTGGGTCAAAATGCATCACTGCTCACTGCAGTCCGAAGACCGGGGGGGGGGGGTCTATCACCTGTTTCATCTACTGGCTGAAAGGATTCTGCAGAGAAATCAGTCAGTAACAGATGCTCTCTTGTGTTTCTCTCTCGCTCCATCTAGGTGGCTGTTCACGAGGACGGCCTGTATGGGCTACGCCTTCTGTGGCGTTTTGTTCGGCCTGTGCAGTCTGACCAACCTCACCATGCTCTCCAGCGTCTGCTGGCTCAAGGTCTGCTGCCCGCACTACGGTAAGACGGCCGCTCTTTAAAATCCTACGGAAACCCACAGTCACACAATGTGCTACTATTAAAGCCAAAGGAATGAACTAAAGGTGATTATTAATTGATAAACAAAAAGACAGTTTTTACGCATATTGATCAAACTAAAAGCGATTTCATTCTCGGTCTCCCCTCGAGGCTAAAAACCTTGAAACCGAAGAGAGAAATATTAATTCCACAGGGCCAGCAACTCGAGGGCTTGTTGCAGAGTAAAAGTGTCCGCGCTGCAATCATGTTAATGTTCCAGACCTCTTTAAACTGCAGGATATGTAAATAAAGCGAAGTTTACACGGTATTTATGGAAAAATCACAAACCATCCACTTACCATCCAGACTGCATGTTTGGGCTTCATCCGCCACTGTCAGTGTTTACTGATGAATTTCAATTTCATCATCAAGAGCAGAGCAAAAGTGAGACATTTAGTTTCATGATAGCCACGAATGGACTGTTAGGGCCCTACGTCAACGATCTACAGCGCCTGGTTTGAATTAAACCGAGTGTCGTCGCATCGTCTTTAAACGCTGTAAGAGAATTGCTGTCGAAATGGCAGATTCCTGCAAATTGGAGAAGCGAGCAGTTTTCTGCAGTGAAATGTCTTTTTCAAAGGCTAAAAACGCCTCAAATATAGTTCGAAGCAAAATATTTTGTTGATGAAAATATTTTGTGAATTTTGGAAATGATAACAGCAATCTTTGCTCTAAAATTTGGACTTTGCTTTGGAGTTATTGTAAATGTTTGGATCAGACGAGTCCTCTGCAGCCACCTCTGGAATCTAATTCCACAAATACTACAACACTAATAATATTAGCAAAGCCTGATCTTCATCTGTATCCGGGCAGAAATACACAGGTAAAAAAAACTGAACAGCAATTTGAATGTCAATGAATGAAGCTTTGAAGCTTCCTAACCTTCGGTACAGCCCTGGAATTGTCTAATATGAATGAGTTTCATGTTCTGTTCCTCATTAGGAGGAAACTCTGATTATTATCTGTCGCTGTCCTTTGACCCGGGGAACTGAATCCGGAGGCTGCATCTCAAAGATCCGCCTCAAAGGCCTCAAAGGCCGTCGTTTAGGGCCACGAACTTTACAGTGAAGTAAATGGCTTTGATAAAGAGCCCTTAGATCCTCTCTCGTCAGGTTAAAAATAAATAAATAAACAAACTTGATTATTGCAGGTGGAATATTAGTTGGCCATATTTGCTAATTAGCAGTAACAAAGGCGCCTGGCAACCAGTGCTGTGATATCATCAAAGCAACACAAGACGACAAACACAAATCAAAAGTGCCCAAAATGCAAATCCAGAAGTTACAAAAAAAAAAAACTTGCACAGTCTCATGAATCAAAATGTCAAACATGGACAAACAGCAGCAGCAGCAAAGAGCTCACAAGTTAATACTGATCAACCGGGAAATCAAATGTACAATAAACAGGAAGTGTCATCTCCTTTAGATGTGTGTTTATGTTATCTACAAACATTCATACCCACCCTGTACAATATATAAAGTATATGTATCTCACATACATTCTGATGTTATTCAACATCCATTAGTGACTGTTTGGATTACTTTTTATTATATATTTGTATTTATATTTATATGTGACTTCCTGACAGTTCTGATTTACAACATATTGATCAGTGTTTTGCTCACTGACCCATACTGTACTCATTTATGGCCACTTTAACTGTAATGGAAGCCTGAGACGGTTTTCACTGAACATCGACTCCCCCGTCGTTCAGTGATGGTGAACTCCTTTCACTTCACTTTAGGATGATTGCAATCTCTTCAAGCAGAACATTGCTAATGAGCACAATTCATCTTTTTGCCACCGTGGCCATTGAAGATTTTTTTCATGTGATTGTCTTTGTCTAAATCTCTTTATTAAGCAGCTGATTTCGGGGCCGTATCTTTATTTTTTTAATCAGAAATTTCCATTTTTGAATGAGGTTAATTTTTCTTTGTCTTTCTATAAAAATGGGTCACAGCACTTAAACACAATCGCCCGTCTCTGTAAATAATATAACTTCACTCACAAACACAATCATCGCCAACGCTCTTCGTCTCCATATTGATGTCTCCGGATGCAGAGTCGCCGTATACGCAGATTCTGCACTCCAGCAATCATCATCCTGGAATTCAGAATCCAGGAAAGTTCCCGTTTATAATGCCTGACACGCAAAGTAAAGTATTCCTGAAGAAAGCGTTGTTACATTAACAACAAAAGAAAAGAAGATGGATTATATTTGATCAAGGGAGAAATGAGCAAACCTAGTAACAGTATGGAAGCCCTTGGAGGACTAAATTAAGATAACAATATAATCTCACAACAGCATTTTCATTTCCAACTCACATTTGCATTAATCGGGTCAAAATTAAATTCAGAATCAGCATTATTAGCCAGGTACATATAGCTAAAAACGCTGACTAAACACAGGAGCTGCCATTTGTGTGCAGTTATGATTGTATTTCCACTCCTACTACAGGCATTCTTTGACAATATTTAAATGAAAATGGAAAAGACATTTCATTTTCAAAGACTAGCCCTGTTTTATCGTTGACAAGATTACATTATTTAATATGTTGAAATGGAGAAGCATTGCACCCAATTGCACTTACATTTCACTGCCGTCACACTGTTTGCCTCACGAAATCACAATGCAAAGAGCATTCACATTTTCAGGTTCTAACAACCTGTCGGTCGTGCTCGGAAGGCGGGACCAAGAATGCTGGTTTCATTCATCCACCGGAAGCAAACTAACGCATGGGTATTACATTTGTTATTTGCATTGAATCCGCCACATGCTTTCATAGTAACAGCAGCATGTAGAAGGAGGCCTGAGAAACGTGAAATTGGCAGCACAGATGAGATTAAATAGATCTCACATGTGAATGCTGTGTTCAGTGGTCAAGATAAGAATCAGGACCAAGTCTGAGGTCACGGTTCTCTGGCTGAAAATGGTGGATTGTGGACGAAATGAGCTTGAAACAATTTGGGCTTCATTTGTCTACATCCGCCTTCACGGGGGGTTTGAAAGAAAATGTTGCAGCAGCCAGCAGCCTCCGAATACAATTAGAAGTCTATTCTGGACTCCAGCAGGTTCAACGATCGCTGCTAATAGGAACGGTACAGCTGAAGTCAAGGCTGCGTTTCTTACAGAGCTCCTCTCGTCTGTACCCCAGAGGAACACAGTCTATAATGCAGCGCGTAACGACCAAATGCAAATGAGCATAAATAATTAACAATTACTTTGCATAAATAATTAACAATTACTTTGTAGAAATGTGCGCAACTTACAGACACACTGTTAAAAGCTGCTGCCCTCTCGTTTCTAAACTGGCTTATACACTCTCGTGAAAAACTAGGACACGACAACATTTGGTGTTTTCATATTTAATCTGTATGTTGTCGGGCTGTCTCATTAAGTTTAAGACCTGAGAACGAGAGACATTCACAAGAACACAATCAGCACAACTACACAAAACAAGGAACTAAAAGAACAGTAACAATTAAGAAAAACATCAGATATTAAAAGCTTTACAATCTCCCGGTGGAATCCAAGACCGTTGAGGACGGTTTGCAGTTGAAGCGCGGGACCCCCCCCCCCCCTTAGTGTGTGCATGAAGGATATCTAATATTTATTTGTTAACATTGTCAGAGAGCCGGTCCAGGTTAAGATCCCCCATTATTAATGCATTCAGCGAGCACAGCTTTGCAATGTCCTCCAAAGCATCAGAATGTGCTGAAGGGGGATGAAACATACCAACAAAGGTCCGGTGCATATCGCCACAAAGTCAGAAGTCAATTTCTGGGAGCAGCTTGTGATATTTAAATGTAATTGAGCCATAACTTGGATTTGGGCCTGTGCTGAATGTTGTTGTCCATAGCCAGAGAAAGTATATAAGAAGTGGACTTTGTCACTGTGGTTTTAGGCCGTCTCCATCTTGTTTTTTTGCAAACAGAAGTGACAAAAGAGGGCGGAGCTAAGTACAACCGAATGCTGACCAAGGCATTTTTAAGCGACCAAAATGTTCCAATCAACATTAATGAAGTGAAAACACAGGGTTGAAGTTTTAAGACGAAAATATGGACAACTCTCAGACCGGACAACGCCGTGGTAGAGACCTGTCAATCACTGTGTAGCCCCGCCCTAAAGCATCCCCTGCTCTATGGTCTGTTTGACTCTAAATGGACCATAATGTACTAAATGAACATCATGCTGTATTGAAGAAGACTTGAAACTAGAGATTGAGACCATAAACTCATGTTTACAATGTTTACTGAGGTAATAAATCAAGAGAGAAGTAGTCATTTTCTCATAGACTTCTATTCAACCAGAGGAGTCGCCCCCTGGTGGACACTATAGAGAATGCAGCTTTAAGACATCACTTTTCAGACCCGGAGGTTGCCACCTGTCAATAACATAGACATGGGAATTATAGAAGCTGGAATATATCACGTTTGCAGTAAGCAGGATGGAGACCAGCCATCTAAACATGGAGCGTTCCTAGAACAAAATAAAATTGTTGATCAAACCAAATTGCAAAATCTTTCCAGCAAAAGGTGAATCACATCTGTTAAATGTAAAAATTTGCACACATGAAAATAGACCACAAAGACTAAAAGCACTAACTCACTGCCTGCAGGTGGCACACATGTTTTAAAGAGCAGCAGCTTGTGTATCACGTTCTCCAGAAGGTGACATCAAAATGTCTACACCTGAAGGCCAAATGGCTAAACGGTCAAAATGACAAAATTGAGGAAGATGACCAGTTCCATGGAGTGCTCTGCATCAACATGAGAAAATAAACAAGTGGTGTCGGACCTGTGGTTATAGAGTAACACCAGGATTGGGTTTCTGGGGGGGTGGAGATGAAAACACATGATAACATTGATGAGTTGCTGACACAAGGTTTAGTTTTCACGTGTGGAGTTATCATGGAGAGGTTATCACATTAACTTCAACATGGGCAACGGGATCAGTTTTCAAATGACAATAAACTCTGTTTTAATTGGATGAATGTTTTGACTCACTGAAATATGAAAGAGCTTCTATGCTGCAGTAGAAAAGGGGAGACATGTTTAAAAAAAGCTGACTGTGTAAACAGAGATCCTACCGGGATAATTATGAGCATGGAGTCCACACACACTTCTTCATAGAACTGATGAGACGGCGAACTATTTCTACAAAGATTTCCTTTCCAACTTAATAAAATGCGTTGGCTTTTTTTAAGGATGTTCCCATGTGGTGTGAGTCTGAAGATTAGAGATACAGAATGAAAAGAGAAAAACGAGATCTGCAGAGGCTGGAAGTCTTTAGATCTACCAGACTGACTTCCTTGCTGATGAGCGGTCTTAAGTTCTAGTGCATGTGTCAGGGACAGGTGTGTCTGTGCAGGTAAAAATGCTTCTCTATGCCGGTGTTTCCCAACCGGTTTTTCCCGGAAATCTACTTTTTAAAAATGACAAACCATTGCGACCCAATTTACAACGAGCCTAATCTACAAATTCTGAGAGGACCTCATTTTCTGCATACATGAACATTTCCTGACCGTTTCTGCATCACCTTTTATCGTCTTAACAAGGTAAACCAGCCATTTCAGAAGATAAAGGTTGAATAAAGCACAGCTTGGTTTATTGTATTTATTATAAAAACCCAATGCACATGTTAAATACTTTATAATTGAGACCAAATAAACGCATTTATGGAAGAAATTCTGCTAATTTATTTGGCGACAATATCCAAATCTCCTGAGACACAGGAAGTGTGTATAGAAGAGTGCTCTCTACACACTTACACATGCTGATACTCTACAAGTGAATTAAAAAAAAATTTCACTAAACCAATTTGATAAATGATGCCTTGGGTGGCCTCATAGTTAACACGCTTGTAGTTGAACCCTGATGTTCTGTTCCTGCTGAAATGTCCTTGAGCGAAGCACCGATAAACATGCGCCGACATGCAACTGATGAAATAAACACTTAGAGGAGACGGAGCATTGGGGGGGTGAGAGTGATGGAGAGTGCTTCTTCCTTCCTGTGTTTTATTAGTGATTGGCCTCGGCTGGAGTAGCTCACATGGGTATTGCTGTTATTAACGAACCCCCTCGGTGACAGGCAAATTAGCCCCCACTTGGTGATCTAACCGTAGCGCAATGATCCGATGTGTCCCGTTAGATTTAATTTACAGCCACCGGTGAATGCTGAAGACCTGAGCGCTGGATCGAAGGCATTCAAACGAAAGGCTGAGTGTGTGTGACTCTCGCACGTCCTCATTTGTAAAATGAGAGGGTCTAAAGACAGAAGGAAGGTATGAAGTATGGCAGAGAAAGAAGAGGGAGGTTTATTTACAGTGATTTTACTGACTTGACTTCAGTTAACTGACAACAGAATCATTTTGGGCTGTCTGTCCTGATGTTAAGTGGTGGTCAGAGGAGGTCGCATAAAGACTGTAAAGCCCTCTGAGGCAGATTTGTGATTTGTGATTTTGGGCTTTACAAAATAAAGTGAATTAAAATTGTTGGCTGTGAAATTTGACACATTTCGCCATTTCAGGCAACAATGAACCAGATCTCAATCACAGACAAAGCTAACAGATCTCACAATTGGGGAAGGGTATTTTAAAGGTACTACAACAAATACTGCTTATCAATCCGGTACTTTAATGGTACTCTTAACGGTTGTTTTTGTTATGCTATTATTTCTCATTTGTACTCTCTATCTATCTATCTATCTATCTATCTATCTATCTATCTATATATAAAAATTAAAAAAAACTAAATCAATTAGCAAGCTCTCTAGCGAAGTAGCGAACAACCGGCTAGGTAGCTAGCTAATTCTGCCATGCTTTAGTGCTACACTGGTTAAAAAAAATTAGCCAAACAGCTGGCCGGTGGTCAGCTGCAGCGCTGGGTCTAACGGTCCGTCCTCCTAGTATCGGATCGGTACTCGGTATAATCACATACATCACACGTACTGAAATCGGTACCAGGAGACAAAATATTTGGAACATCCCTATTTAACATGTAAGAGCGCATGTTTGAAGGCTTTTTGTTAGAAATCGAGTTCAGCTAGCCGTGACCAAAAAAAGATGGCAATCCAATCATGAAATGCAAAATGGACCAGTAATTGTACGGCGCCTTTCTAGTCTTCCAACCACTCGATCATCATCTTGCCCAAGGATACAACGACATGGAGTAGAGGAGACGGGGGATCGAACCGCTGATTGAAAGGACAACCCGCTCTTTCACAGTCGCCCCATTACATTCGGGCCGGATGAAATGATTATTACAGTCCTGCGACAGCCACACATACCAGATTAGTTTTCTTCTTTTTCTGTCAGAGCATTGATTGCTGACAGGATGTAATGAGAGAAGAAAAGGCACACTGCTGTCTTCTCCTCACACGTTTTTAAATTGATGTGACTGGAATTATTTCAACCACAGATAGATAAAACGTTATTAATACTTAACTACATGGTAAATAATATATTATTATATTAAAAATATTATAATTATGAAGTAAGTTCTTGAATGAACTGAAGATACTGAACTGATGTCTGATTCCACAATTTCTGTAAAGGTTTCAGATGTGTGACTACTTCTCATGATTATAATCAACACGTATTTTCCTTTCATTTTCATTCTTCCTGTCAAACATACCTATCCACCCTGGGGAAATGTCCTATCAAGTTGTTCATCACTTATTGTACAGTATCCTCCTCCTCCTCCTCCCTTGTTGCCTGTTATCAGCATCAGGTAACCAGACTCAATATGCTTCAGGAAGCATATTGTTGCTATGCCGTTGTTTTTGTGTCCTTCCTCTATGTCCTCATCTGTCAGTAATCACTCCCCCAAAACTCTCCCTCCTCTGCCTCTGCCTCTAACCTGCTTTGTTCTTCCTCAGGTAACAAGTTCTCCTTCTGCCACGCCTGCCTGCTGGTGGCCGGGGTCTGGTGCTACGCTGGAGTTTTTGCAGTGGGTCCCCTGTCGGGCTGGGGGGAGTACGGCGCCGAGCCGTACGGCACGGCGTGCTGCATCAACTGGGAAGCCCCGAGCCGGGACTCTGCAGCCATGAGCTACATCGTCTGCCTCTTCTTCTTCTGCTACATCATGCCCTGCACCGTCATCTTCTTGTCCTACACCTTCATCCTGCTGACCGTCCGGGGCTCCCAACAGAATGTGCAGCAGCACATGTCCCCGCAGAACAAGACCACCAACGCACACACGCTCATCATTAAGGTAAATACTGAGGTTCAGCGTCCAACACATCAACACCAATAACATCCTCGTACAACGATTCACATGACATCTAGAAATGAAAAGTTACTCTGCATTTTTCATGGTTTTCCTACAAAAATCAAGCAACACGTGTCAATATCAGCTTGTTACATGCATCCGGTCTCTTTTAAAATAAACTTTCTTCTTCAAAGGAAACAACTCAGTTAGGTTTAATAAAAGATGGTGAAATACTTAGTCAGGTTTCGGAAAAGTATCGTTGTTTTGGTTAAAATAACTACGGAAGTTAAGTTGCTGAAGTACGCAAGTTACGTGACAAATAAATCAGCGTTGACTTCTCGTTTCACACGGAGAACAAACAGCGGTCTCCTGGCTAAAAGACGGCCGTTTGTTGGACCCATCCAGCTCCACTTCCACCCGCCTTGTTTTGCAGTTTTTATGCTTCCTCGTTCATGATTATGTGGATAAATTACCAAATTATTTTGTGGGATATCCTGCTACGAACGTTGGAGGAGACCAGCCTCATCAACACATTCTCCCCCCAATGGGTCAGATCAGTGGGTCAGTGTTGCTAAGCTTCAAACTGTGACGCTCAACGTTCCCTTCTAGCATCAGTTTAGCATGTGTCAGTAACGGTGTGTCAATATACTCTGACAAAACCAGTTTCGGAAAAGAGCGTTGTTGACGTTAACTTGACTCACTAATGACTCAAGTGACTTGTGACTTAGGTGACTAACGACCAGCGTGACAAAATGTCACGTGTACTTTTGGTTTTGCAGCGGTTTCCTGGGTCAAAGTCCTGTGTCACTTTGACCCATTCACGTCCCCTTCCATCAGCCCTTTCTGGACAAAAGTGCACTCTATACTACGTCAGTTGATCTGCCCGGGAGGGGGCTAAACATTTGTCGGTGTCAGACGGCGATGAGCATTGACCAAGCTGAATTATTTGACGCCTTTCGGGCGAGAACCGGTTGACTGTATGGGCCTGAAATAACTTGTGTTTACTTGACAGTTTTGTATCTTGTGTCCTCTCTCCAGCTCTCCGTGGCAGTCTGCATCGGTTTCCTGACAGCATGGAGTCCGTACGCGGTTGTGTCCATGTGGGCGGCGTTTGGTAACCCAACAGAAGTACCACCCATGGCTTTTGCTCTGGCAGCTATCTTTGCCAAGTCCTCCACCCTTTATAACCCAATTGTCTATCTGGTCTTCAAGCCCAACTTCCGCAAGTCCCTGTGTCGGGATGTGGTCCTGTGCAGGACGACATTCGTTGGATGTCTGTGTTCGCACGGCTCAGCACAGAAGGGAACTTGCAGGCATTCCGATCACAAAGAAGAGTGCAACTCCACCAGGTTGTCAAACGGGCTACCGGAGAACCACAGGGCCTGCAGACACTGTCCCTGCCCTGAAAGAGCCACCGGTGTCAGAGAGAACTTCACAGAATACAGCCCCCGGCAGACTGCCAGGATACTTAAAGAATCAATGAATAGTGAGGTCGCTGTCAGTCAGCTCTCCAATGAGCAGAGTGACTTCTTGTAGAGACAGACAGTGAGAGGGTGAAAGAAAAAGACAAGTGATGGAGAAAAAGATGGCAAAAGTGAAGGTTGAAAGACGATAATTGCAAAAACGTAATGAAAAACAAAAAGATAAAGATTGATTAACCCTCTGAATCCCGTGCAGTTTTCAGTCATGCACCTCTATGGAAACAGCACAATCATGGCCAGAAGAAAAAGCTATATATACATGCATTTCTCCAAGTGTCCACAAGTGTTACCGATGTTGAAAAAAATAATGGAGGCTCTACGTGATATATTCATTGAGCTATTTACATTTTTACAGCCTGTCCTCTCTGCTCTGTGTTCAGCAGCCTGCAGTTCAGACGACGTTTCACAGAATTCTTGTCACGTGACTGTATCGCTCAGCCAAATCAGTCATGACTTCCGAGTTGCGTTGATGAACTCAGAATTTAATGTTTTTTACAGGATCTGGTGAAAGCAAAAGGTTTATTCAGGGCAAGATTTTAAATGAGACGTGTAGAGTAGAATGTTTTTGATGAAATATCACCATTTCAATCACAGTTTTGATCATAGTTTTGGCTACTTTTTTTGACGGAAGCGTTCCTTTCACATGATATGTTCAAGGACCGTCGGAAAGAGGAAAACCTGACAATAATGACGTTTTTACAGCTTCTGGATCTGATAATCGGTGTAGTTTTGTCGATTGTTTAAGTATTAAACATGCTTCTTAATCCCGCCGGCAGGTTTTGGGGTTCAGAGGGTTAAAGGAAAATAAATATGTTATAACTTTTAAGGTCAAAGTTCTTTCATGCCTCAAATACGCGATACTGCCAAAAAAATGAAAAAGACCGCAAAGTGGTTTAAACTTTCTACTCTCTAAATCATCCTTTATGTATTTATTACACGTACTGTATTTGATGATGTGGTTAAGTATTCATCAATGCATGCATGAAATTGAAGGAGCACAGGGTTGCTGGTGCCATTGAATTGGATAACTGTCTCCTTGTTGAGGCCCATGCTTTATGCTTTACATAAAATGTACAACCAGGGTGTTGTGTTGAATCCGCTGCAAAGAGCTGTCGTCAATGTCAATTATGTCTAATGGGGCGTGTTAAGTGCATGACTAGTTGGAGGCTGTAACACTCAATGGGCTCTATTCTCCCTCAGCGTGCTCTATGTGGAGACCTCTGAACAACAATATTCACGATACCCTGTTTGAAGATTCATCAAAAAATGTTCCGAAATGTAGAGTTTCTGAGGGTCTTCAGCTGAAATGAGCCACACATTTTAAAACTGTGCAAAACGACATCGATATTTATACGTCAGCGTTTTGTACGAATGACGCGTGTTGCTTTTCTGATGTGAAATCCAGACAGAAACACACGAGTACACTGATCAGGTTAAACGTCAATGAAAGGTCATGTTTCTTTTTGTCGAACAGTAATATTATATTTATGTAGAACAGGGTTGTAGTTATGTGGCTGACTTTGCTTTAAAATGTGTCCTGTTGTCTTATACTCTAGACAAGAAGAGAAAAGGTGTGTCCATGTGGAAGATCAGCTGCAATCAAGTTAAAAATGAGCAGCAGAAAGCTAAAAATAATACTATTACTCACAATTTGGCACTTATTTTCATAGTTTTGGTTGCGATTTATATATTTATATATATAAGTTATGATAACAATTTGATCACCAAAGTAATTCCTGCGATCTGGAAACATTGTGGCGATCTACTTCAACAAAGTGTGACAGGAATTTATTCTTTTTAACCTTTTTTATAACCAGGCGAGTCATTCAGATATTGTGTGGAGATTTAATTTTCCATTTATTTTCTCTTTTAAATAAGTTTATCTTTCTTTAAAACTGTTATAAGGCGACACTTGCATCCTTTATCAAACTACTCTTCAGCAATGTTGTCGTGTTCACAGATTTTTTTATCAATTTACGTAGGTTCATTATATGTTGTCAGCATCAACAGTAATGATGTCCAAAACTATGGAAATATGACTCAAAACTGGACTAATGAGATGCTCCTTTGTGGGCTGTTTCCTTCTGTGTGTGCGCGTGCGTGTGCGTGCGCGTGCGCGTGCGCGTGTGTGTGTGTGTGTGTGTGTGTGTGTGTGTGTGTGTGTAATGTGCCTCTGTGAGTGTCTTTAATGGGCAGGACTACGAGTGTGCAGCTCCTGAGTTCTTTCAGTTGTGTGACACACAAACGGCAACAAAAAGAGGACCGAAATGGGCAAATTGAAAGTTTTCCATAAGCCGTTAAAACAGAAATAGGAAGATTTAACATTATGTCTGTGCATGGATACGGGCCACTTGTCTTTGGTGCTCATCTTGGAAAAGAGAGGGCCTGTTGTTCGGACATAAGGCTTCACTTCAGCGCCTGCCAACATTATTCCAATAAAGCAATGCCCAGCGAGCAGAGTTGAGCTTAACCGCAGTGTTTGTCCAACGAGCAGTTTTGTTCCCCCTCCCGGCAGCATAGGTCACCATATGGAAGTACAAGAACACCTGCCATTGACTAGATGAATTAGATCTGCTAGAGCGCATGTTGTGGTAGTGTGTTGAGTAGCATGACATTCATGTCAAGTCGTGATTCATTTCTTTTCATTGGCGAGACGGAAGCCGACTATAAAAGCGGTTCTTTCACTGTCGCTTCGTCGTGAAATAGTTCGTAGTGTAAAACAACCACGTCAGCACATGTGATGTTCTCCGCTGCCGGCTGCACTCCTCAAATTACTGCTCTGACATTGCTACACAGCGACTGCTTCTTACAAGAAATTGATGCCAAACCGCCATCGCCACCTGAACTAATAGACAACTTTGGCTTTTCACACAACAGTTAGGCCTGGGGTAAGACCCTGGTTAGTTCAGCTTGTTACCTGTGGCTTTAGGCTATGTTCATATATATCAGCTCTCGCAACAAACAAAACACAGTGCTATCTGGCAAATAAGTCGAACCTGGCACAATTTTTGCATTAAGCAACGCACTGCATTGTGAACACAAGTGAACATTCCTGATGAGCTGAATGGGTCACTTCTTCTGTTTGCCTCATTGCAACAGAGGATGAAATGATTGTATCCTCTATCATGCTTTTATAAATTGCTTTTAGTTTTTTATACCGTAGTGAACATTCCGTGACAGTTGTTTCACACTATGAAAAACTTTAACGCAGGCTCACTTCACCACAATCTGGACCCAAGTTATTCACGACTAATCAAACGTTGCATTTCTCAGAGTTGATCAAGGTTTTAAGTAGACAGGTGCAGATATCCGTCAGGTGTGTCTGCAACGACTACTGCTGTATTGACTGAAGGAATACAACCCACAATTGGCAATTTCACATTATTCCAGCTTAATGTGCTAAACTGTCGCCCCCCCCCCCCCCCACTGTGTCTCTGCTGTGTTATCATGAGCGGAAGTCAGCCGGTAGTCAATTGCAGTACAACACAACACAGCAGGCAATAAAAGCTGTTTTGAGAAAGTGTGAGTCACCGCAACCACAACAGGTCCTTGAGCATGCAGCCATAATTTACCACCCAAAACATATTACGCAGCTCGCTGCAGCAGAATGTGAGACTAGCCGTGGACAGACACGGAGGTGCACACTCACCCGCACACGGATGCACACACACACACACACAAACATGGCCGATTGCATGATCATCCTTGCAGAGATAATAAAAGCAATGGGGAATTTATTGTTAATTAATTGTCCAATCAAATCAAGGTGAACAAACATTCACCCGGAGCTGAGAAGTTCAAGTGTGGATTGTTAACCCGAGGCTTTGTGGAGCCACGGTGCGTTTCAACCCCTCGGCTGACGAGAAAGAAAGAGAAAACATGCCTTTTCACTGACGTTGATACGATATCGATTATTTTCAAGACGTGTTGAGACATCACTGATTTCATCTTTGTATCTAACAACCATTGTACACAACTGCACGATGTACCGGGTAGCAGCTCGTTACTGGTTCCTGCTCTGTGACCTCCAGGGCGATAGGTCGCCTACTAACTGTGCATGGTACAATTGTTTTCCCAGGAAAAACTCTGTGATTGTACTTACTACTCTGATCTGTGAAAGACGTTGCTGGTTTTATGTTGGCTGCACAAGATTTAGGAGAAAAAGGGTGGACGAGCTAAAGGATCTGTGAAATGCAAGTGTCATGGTGGAACCAAAGGTTGCAGTCACCTTTAACACTCACTGCAAAGCCAAAATGTTTCGTTCTCTTGGATGTTTTTATACCAATATGCAGGTTACCATTAAAATAACGTACATATCAAAGACTTTGTTTTTTCCGCCCAAACTCTCGGGCGGAGATGAAGACTTTACCAAACCAGGAAAACAAACTGTGACAATCTGATTCTGATGACTGTTTCTTTTCTATTCTGTTACTCGAGGAACAAACACTGCAAGTACACTCGCTGTATACGCTGAGTCACAAGCCATTTACCACACGGGTCATCTCTACTGGCTTTTCTTATTTTAAACAATGTGTATATCTATCTCTCTCTATCTCTATCTCTCTCTGATGTCAGGGATTTCATGTAGACATTGGTTTGCATGTATGTAGATAATGTGTATGTAAAGATGCCAAATTTGATTCATATATTACCATGACCATAAGCCTCAAAGTGTAAATAGGGAATGGGGAAGGCCCTTGCAGTCTCTTAAACTGGGGGTCGGTCCATTCATCCATCGAGCAGCTATACCTGCTTCTCTTCTAGAGGGCGGCGGTGAGCTGGGTGGTGAAGATGTATCTCTGTGTTATTTCATCTTCTGACTGCTGGCTTTGAAAGTGTTTCTATAAATGTTTCCTATTCCAGGGTTTTAGTGCAAAACAGGTTCCAGGTCTGTAGCTGTGCTCACTGCAGCTGAACTCCATTTTCCTTCAGCTCCTTTAAGTGAGACTTAGCCGAGCTCAGAGTGAAACAGCGTCCCCGTTGTCACCTGCACAGTGTGTCGGCACTTCTGTGAAACATGCTTATCTGAACTCTTTACTGTCTAAAATCTTACCTGTCAAGATGCAGCATGACAAAAGACTTGGTTAATCCCATGTGGAACATGAGACCGCATCAGCGGAAATATTTCATATGCAGTATTTAAAGAGGTTGATGATGCCCCCCACCCCTGTTTCTAAGACACAAACAAGGCAGAATGTGAAGAGGTGTACATATATGTTGAGATATATATATCTATCTCTATCTAGATATCTATCTCTATCTAGATATCTATATCTATCTAGATATCTATATCTATCTAGATATCTATATCTATCTAGATATCTATATCTATCTAGATATCTATATCTATCTAGATATCTATATCTATCTAGATATATAGAAAAGTAGATCTATATATATATATATATATATATATATATATTTATTAGATTTTGAAATATTACAACATTGTAATTATTATTGTTGTCTGTGAAGCTTCAGATGCATTGTAAAAAATGTTTACATATTTTGGTAATTTGTTTTGTTTAACAAATATTGGGGATTGTATGGAAAGTGTTAAAATATCCAAGGGCCTGTCGTTTGTTCTGGGGTATAGTGGAATGATAAATAAATAAAATTCAGGATTCCATTCGTGAGAATATCACGACTTGTGTCGTCCTTTTCTTTGCTTGTATTCATAGTTACAGTAGAGCCACGAGTCACGCAGAAGGTTTGCAGATCTTTCAGTCTCAACGTGTTTTCTCCGTCACGCCAGCGTAGTCCTGACGCGTAGTTACGTTTTCACGGAGGCGTTTCAGCATCGTTATCGAGATGATCGCCGTCCAGACTAAAACGCCTGAAAACGAATATCACGTGACTATTCACGTACACTGGACGTGCCGGTGTAAACGGGAAGTAGATTGGTTGCTAACTTTAAAAAATACGACGGAGTAATAAAGTAGTCTTTAATAATGAAAGGTCGTGTTTGATACTTAAGATCTTCTCTAAAGTCTTCCTCTATGAACTCAGACACATTTCGTGGCAAGTTTTATTTTTCCAAATTGGTTACAGCGCTGCGGGTCTTGCTCTCTCTCTCTCTCACATCAAATTTACTTTAAAATCAACACTTGCACGTAAAGGTTTACTAGATCATGGGTCCATAAATGTGGTGAACACTCGTCTGTCCCTCGTTCCCTCTCGGTTTCGTTGTCTGTTCTCACTCATCGCTCAGCTGGTGGCTGAAGTCTGTCCTACTGGAGAGCGATCTATGTTTTGTTCCTTTACAGTTTTGTGCAGAACAAAATAAGCATTAATAAGAAAAGGAAAGTCCTCCGTTTTGTGTCGTGATGACTCCGTCTGTCGGTACGCCGTTATTAGCTGTAACCGCCGTATGCGCGCAGCGTAGTGCGGCGGCCGTGAGCTGACGTGAACTAACGTGCACTAAAAGCAAAAATGTCCGGCCCGGCTACGTCAACAAAGCAAGGAGAAGCTCCGATAACAACACACAGAGAGAGTGTGACGTTATTCTTTGCTCAGGTAGACATTACTCAACTATATCTTTACATTGATAATAGTTGTGTGACGATATGTTAATGCTCTGAATCCTGTATGTTGCCCCTTTAACGTGCAGCCTGAAAGGGAAATCCATCCAAAAGTTGTCAAGATCTTAAAATACTAAAAATGTCAACCTCACGGTGCCGCAAGATCAGAAGTCAGGAGATCACTGAAGTCCGTAGGCAAAAATATATCGACATTTCATTGCAATTCAAATTCATAAATCAGCAAAGGGGAAAAATATCCAGTGTGCATTCAAAAGGGTACACAACAGCCAAGCTGAAACCACTACTGGGCTGTGAAGGCAACGCACAGATGCATCAAATGGACTCGATATGTTTGAAAATGCAAGTCAAGCCAAAGATTATTGTATCAGGATACACATGAACAACCTGCAAACCTCATTTTAATGTCTGCTGGACTAAACTCTAAGAAAGTTCAACCCTTGTTGTCATACGGCCTGTTTAGACTGGCCATCAAAAGATATGATGTGCGTTCAATGTAACCTACAAAATCCACATTCCCCATTATGTGCAGAAATGCATTCAAAACTTAATCTGAAGGCTTCGGCAGTCTGAGCCAGCCAGAGCAAGAGGATATCTTTTTAGGGTAAGATTCCCTCCGTGTTTCCGGGTTCCACCGCGGTGGAGGGATAGTAGAACAGAGAGGGATCTCAGGACTAAACCCACTTTAACTTCACCCACGTTATTTGTCTGATTTAGACTTCTGAAGCCAAATTAGATTCAGATAAACTCTGGGATGTGTTGTTTCCCCCACAGAAAGAGGCCTGTGGATTTAGTCCTCCATCACTTTCATTGAAACCTTATTTGCAAACACACACACACACACGCTGTGTTTTGGTGAGATCTCTGAGCAAGCTGGCATTTTTTTTTTTAGCTCTAATTGGTTTACGTCGCAGTGTTCTGCATCTCCAAAGCAACACAATTGATTGAGATTCATGTGAGTGTTTCTTGCTGCTGGAGAAAACCAGCCAGCCAAGCTTCACTCAACACCGAATGTCAATGCACGTGTGTGCACATGGAACAGGAACGGGCAGTAAGCTGCAGAATGTAAAAGAGAGTGATTCACTCCGTTTTTCATGAATAATCTCTTGTGCGAAGATAAGCCATTAAGCATTACATAATAGGCTTTAGCGCAAAATGACATTGAATGTTACTTAGTTTTAATCTTAATCCTTAATCAGCAATTCCGCGCGACGTACCTGACCTTGAACCAAACGACTTCATTCATCAAACTCGCGTTAAGAGAAAGTAGATCCGCTGCAGCTTTCTGTTTTTTGCTCTCCACCTTTTCCCACTCGCTTTGCCCCCTTGCACACCTGGCCTGTTACACGAACACGAACACCCCCCCCCCCCTCGCGCCGCATGCAAACAGACGGACACGATCCGGCTGCCTCACCTTCGCAAAGGTGTCCCCGCTGAACGCCATCTGCCAGAACATCTACGCTCGGCCGGGTCTGCAGCAGAGCGGGGTGTCAGACCGGGGCCAGGCATACCTTTGCTGCTGATTAGTGTGATTGACATTCAAAGCTGTACCGGGGTTTCTACTGATATGTAAACCTGTTAGAGTTGTTACACAATCAACTGTGTAATGAAAAAAAACAGAAGGAATATTTCTTCATCCATAACATCAAGACGGACTCATTAGTTACACAGAGTCCTCTTCTCCATGTCATGGGATTATTATTGTGTAACAAGCTAATTATTCTACATTAGATAATCAATACAACATACCTGTACAATGTACTAGTTTAGTGATCATCTGTGAAGAATACAAATAATGGAAATAACTTTACATCCTGCATCACCGTACAGATGCATCAGCAGCAGAGACTTTAAGGAAAGTTAAGAGACA